CCACTATACATTTTGTCCTAAATGCAGACTTTCATCTTTGATGTTCCAGGGACCAAACCCACTAGGTCACCTTTGGGTTTAGAACACTATTGCCTACAGAACAACCACAACATTTACCATCATTGAAAATCTTTGGAAAAACTTTCTCAAGAAATTAAGAACAAAAGTTGCATAAAGCATGTTTCCTTATAAATGCACTGAAAAATGAAAAGGTTCCCAGGGCTTCTGGCTTTCCTCCAGGAAAGGACTACTATACTACAGAGGAATTGGATGCTTGCCCAGTGGCCTTTGGAATGACCTGAACTTTATATACTTTTTTGAATAGATGCCCTGTGTAGTGACCTGGCAACAGGAGAATTTTCCAAGTCTACTCTATGGAAGTCATCTGACACATTCCCCTGCAAGTGTTCACATATTCTATACCCCCAACTAGCCTGATTCCCCAGGACCAATATGAGAGTCTCTCCCACTTGAGTTTCCCTTTGTCAACAGCAGTGATCTCCCACCATTAGCAGCAGGCTCTTGCCTTAAAGACACCAAGTTCCTTTCAGTTCTGTTAAATTTATTTTAACAGATGTTATCTATGTGCCAAAAATAGTGTTTAGCCACTGGAAATTAAAAACAAGTAAATAAAACAACATGGGGCCACCCTGTGGCCAGCTGACCATGGTTTGAGTCCCAGCCCCATAGCTTGAAAAAAACACAGGGCACATATACATGCATGCCTCAAATCCCAAAGGATGGAGAAGAAGAGAAGAAGAGAAGGCAGAGGGGCCACACCCCATTGGGTGGCACTTCCTCCCCTCCCTGTTTCTCTCTGTCTCTCTCTGGCAATCATATGAATCCTGTGGCAAAATATAACATTTTAAAAAAATACAAAAAGAAGAATAGCTGGTCTCTGACCCTGAAGAGCTTACAGATAATTGCTATGTATGTAATGTACTCACAAAAACATAGAGTGACGGCCATTAAAACCCAAAAGAGAGAATTTTAATCCAACCTGGGCAATTAGGAGAAGCTTTGTGGGGAGGATGACATATAAACTAATTCCTAAAAGGAAGAACTAAGAAAAGACTATCCCCAAAAATCTAGAAGAGTGTTCTTGGCAGAGAGAAGAGTCTAAGCAAAGGCAGAGCAATATGAAGACTATGGGCTCTGATGGCTGGGTATCAGTTAACATGACAGAAAAGAGGTACAAGATGGAGGGTAAGGACAGAAGTGAAACTACAGAGAATAAATCTATAAAAGGTTGGTCCTGAAGCACCTTGAATAACCTGCTCAAGAGTAGACTGTGTTCACTATGCAAAGGGGAGCTATGCACGTTACCACCTATCTGCTGGCTCATCTCCTTGGCCCTGGGCAGCAGCCAGCCCTGCAGTTGCTCCACCTCCTCCTGGATCTTCTTTTCACTTTTCTGACTCTTTGTTTTTTCTACAGGGCACGTACGCTCACCAGACAGACGGAGAGAGACAGAGAGACAGAAAGTGAGAAATCACCCCCCAGGGGGTATGGCCACGCCACAATCCCTTCTCCATTCTCCTCTCAGGATCTTGGGCATGCACGCAAACGTGCCCGGCGTGAGTTTTAAGCCACCGGGTCCAGGACGCAAACCACGGTCAACTATGTGGGAGTCCAGCGACATAGCCATTATGCTAACTGCTGGTCCCTCACTATTCTGACTCTTGAGCCAGACGAGCACACAGCTCCAAGATGAAGTGTGCCAGCTCCTCCTGTGCTCGCACCATCAGCATTGGAGGTGGTAAGAGCCTGTCATGGGTTCCGTCCATCTTTGTGGGTCCCAGCTGGTGGCTCTGGGATCCAATTTGTCTTTGCCTCTCTTCCCCACTTTATGTATATCTCCTCTTCCTACCCTCCTGCCTGCAAACTTCATGACCCTTCATAAGACATAAAGTTAACCACCTCACAGAGACGAGTAAACATATCCCACCAATGTATAAGGTCAGATTTCTACTAGTTGGTCCAGAAGATGGCATAGTGGTTATACCGCTGGACTCCCACATGGCTGTCTGCAGTTTGAGTCCTGACCCAGGTGGCTTGAAAATCACTCTGGCACATGTGCATGTGTGCCTAAGATCCCAGGAGGAAAACAGAGAGGAAAGGACTGTGGCATGGCCATCCCCATGGGGAGTGATTTCTCACTTTCCCTCTCACTGTGTCTGTCTCTCTCTCTCCAGCAAGCACAAATGCCCTAAAGCAAAAACCTCTTAATTTTTTTTTTGTAATGATTTGCTTCTCTGATCTAACCCAGATAGAGAATTTGGTACCAGAGTAGATTCTAGGGGAATAGAACCGTAAGGACAAATTCTCTAAATATGTTCTGGACTATCTAGAATTAATACTCTGATTTTACTAGGCTTAAATGACCCTTTTCCAATGGTAAAGAGGACACTAATATTACCTAGTATGCAGCAGCAAAACAGCTATGCAAATTGTCACATGCTCATACCTTTATCAAATGCCTATTGAAGAGGATTCAGTAAATTTTGGTGAAAAGAGATAGAGAAATACTTTAAGATTAGTTAGCCATCTGGTCTATCGCAACTACTCCACTCTGGTTGTAGTACAAAAGCAGCCTCAGACACTAAGTACATGAGTGGGTGTGACTGTGTCCCAATAAAACATTTAAAAACAGGGAGAGCAAGCCAGATTTGGCCCAGGAGGCATAGTTTGCCAACTTCTGCCCTAGAAGGTAAGACTTTGGATGAACAAGTTTTTGCTGCCATCGGATATCTTAGTGAAAATACAAACTCTAATGGGATTGATTAACTGCTTGTAAGTGTGCCGGAGAACATGGGGAAAGAAAATGATGAGCTCAGGGCTTTACATTCTTAGCTCAAGGTCCATATAAGGAATCTGAACTCTTCCATGAATATCCTAAAACAATTCTGACTGATACAAAGATGAGAGAGCTGAAATCAGTAGATGATACACAAGCAAACTGAAAAAGGAGCATTAAATGTGTAGGAGAGGCAACTTGGGACATGCCAAGTTGGAGGTGCTATGGGGCGTCAAGTGGAGGTGCTTAGCAGGCAACGGGATGCATAGTCTGAAGTTCTGGAAATCATCCACATGTATGTGATGGCTACAAACATTAAAATAAAAGAGAGAACCTAGAAAAGGAGAGACAGAGAGAGAAAGGGAAAATCCCTGAGCCGAGGCAGATGCTGAACTGAATGTTGAGGAGGGCAGGGAACATGGGGCTCATAAAAAAACAAGTTTGAGATATCTAAGGCCCCAAAAGAGAGTGGCATTGCCAAGACTAAGAAAATGGAGAGTCTCAAGAACCTGTGAGTTGCTGCAGTAAAACGACATGGCAAGCCAGAAGGTGGTATAGTGGTTATATAGTGTACTCCCACATGGCTGACCATAGTTTGAGTCCCAGACTGGTGGCTTGAAACTCATTCTGGGCACATGTGTATGTGTGCCCAACATCCCGAGAAGAGAATGGAGAAGGGACTGTGGTGTGATCTCCTTTGCGGGTGATTACTCACTTTCTGTCTCACTTTCTGTCTCTGTCTTTCTGGCAAGTACACGCACCCTATGGAAAAAAAATCTCTCTAAGGAAGAAAAAACTGGACATGGCAGAGGTTGAGAAATTCAGTAAGTCAAAATTGGAAGAGATTAAAACTATACACAGCCTTTAAAAGAAACATCTGGAGGGGCAATAGGTGGCATGGCAGTTAAGCCACATGGCCAACCACAGTTCAAGTCCTAGACCCAGTGGCTTGAAAATCACTCCAGCCACATGTGCGTGCACAAGTGGCCAAAATTCTGAGAGGAGAATGAAGGAGAAAGGATTGTGTCATAGGCATCCCCTCCGGGGGGTGATTTCTCACTTTCCCTCTCTCTCTATCTCTCTGATGAATGTATGTGTTCTATGGCAAAAACTTGGGGAAAAAAAAAAAAGAAAGCAAGGAAAGAAAAATCTGGAGGGCCAACTACATGGTCTGGTCGTAAAGGCAGCTGTATTCCACATGGCTGACCACCTGGTTTAAATCTCAGACTTGGGGGATCAGCAGTTAGCGTAATGGCTGTGTCACTGGACTCCCATGTGGTCGACCACGGTTCAAGTCCTGGACCTGGCGGCTTAAACTCACGCCGGGTGCGTGTGCCTGTGTGCCCAGAACCAGAAAGCATCAGGAAGATGGTTGAGTTTTTCTGAGGTCTGTGTTACCAGGAGCATAAGCATTTCCCTTCTTTAAATATGAATACCGTGTTTAGCTGTTTAACTTAGGGACAATGCAAAGAGGTAAAAGAGAAGTGGCAGGGTGAAAGGACCATGCCAGCTGAGAGGTGGTAGCAACAGGAAGCCACACAATGGCCTGCACTTAGCCGATGAAGTACCAGGCACACGTCATTGAGAAAGGGAGCCAAGGGCTATGTAGGAAGTTACAGAAGTGAAGTCAACTGAGTCAACTGGAAGAGTCCACTGAGGATAGGAAGTTTGTATCTAAAGCAACACAGATCCCATGCAGTGCAGCCGTATGAAAGGTCTTTCATCTGTGATTCTTTATTTTTCTTTCAAGAATTATTTAATTTTCTAAATCCATTCATTTATTTTAATTTGACCAGAGAGAGACATGGGGGGTGGGAGAGAAGTGAGGAAGCAAGCCACCAGGTCTGGGACTCGAACCATGGAACCATGTGGGAGTATCCAGCGCCTTAGCCACCATGCCACCTGCTAGTCCCCACTCATCTGTAATTCTTAATGTAAAAGGTGCATTCTCTTATGTGCAAACTTATACTAGACACATTTGTCCACTTCCAAACAAAAGTGGACTAGATTCAGAATATATCAGGTATATTTGTTTTAGTAACCATGAATAATAAATGAATAAATAAAAATTTTCCTGGTTTCAAGCAGCTCTAAGAGCATTCTTTTAAATGCCTGATTCTCTAAGGGCATTGTCTGAGCACGCATGCTGAAGAGCTAACCAGACCTGCATGGTACAACACTATCGATTCCCACAGTATCTTACCGAGATATTTCTTGTAGATTTCTGTTTATTCCACCGCAATGCTTCCTGGGATCTGTCCTAGGAGAACCACAACCAGCCTTGCTGAAAAGCCAGGTAAATAAAAAATGTAGCTGTATTTGTCTATTTTTTCACAGACTCCATTTCTTCCTGATGGAAAGAAAACACAAAAACTATAACTTAAAATGCAATGAAAACCTGAAATCAAATTGGTAAATTCTCCCACTGTAATATTTCTAAAGAAATTTTTTTTTCTGCTAAAAATATACACACAGCAGAGGTAAGAGTTCTTTGGTAACCTAACTGTAAAATGTGGATATGTTGTGCCGGCAGGTGGCATGGTGATTAAAGGCACTGGAATCCCCATGTCCAACCATGGTTCAAATCTCAGAGCTGGTGGCTTCCTTTCACACTTTTCCTCTCTCTCTCTCTCTCTCTGTCTCTCTCTGGAAAATAATAATGAATAAATTTAAAGTAATTCTTTAAAAAATGTTTATGTTCTCTGATGAACCAAAAAAGATCACACTGAGGTGATTCTATGAGAACTCAGGTATAAATATAGAAACATATATACACACACGCATATATATACACAAGGGGCTTCCAGAAAGTTCATAGGAAGTATATATTATGAAAAAACTATGCATGCATTTCAAAAAAATTTTTACATCAAAATAAACTCACACGTTTTTCCATAAACTTTTTGATATCCTGTTATGTACATGTGTGTATACATCTGTCTGTGTGTGTGTATTTTTTAAATTTTATTTTTTTTTAATTTGCCATAAAGCACATGTGCTCACCAGAAAGAGACAGAGCAAGAAAAAGGGTGAGAAAGCAAGCCTCCAGGTTCGTGACTCAAACCATGATCAGTCATATGGGAGTCCAATGCCTTAACCACTATACCACCTGCTGGTCCTGTGTGTGTCATTTTAATCTTAAAATCAGAAAAGAACTTGATTTTTAAAGAAAAACTGAAGAATTTCCTTTCCAACAAGATTCATGGACCAAAAGGAAAAACTATACTATCTGGTTTCACTGAGTCTCTTTTTTTCCATTTGTTCTCCTCACAGCACCTAAAGTGATCTCTTAGAAATATAATTTGATCATGTCACTCTTCTGCTTAAAACTCCCAATGGAGAGTGTTCACTAAAATGTTAACATAACCATTTCTTGGTGTCTTAATACTTTGAGGAAATAAAAAGTGGATTTTTTTTTTCTTGTTAAAAAACTGGTCCATGCCTTGAGGAGATAGAGGAAGGAAGAAGTCCAATTGCAGATTGGAAAGCTTCAAATAAAAATAGAACTAGCCCTATTCCTACATTATCGTTCATCTTGCTACCCCAGGTGGGTTGTTCTTAAGTTGGTGATGGTTTTACTTATTTTGAAGCATTAGGCCTTCTCGGAATGAGAACAGGCTATAATATGCAAAGAGGAGCTCTCTTCTTAGGGAGCTCTGCGTACTCCTGCCCTCTACTGCATTTTATGCTGAAGGTTCCCAAATTTTATTTCTAGCCTTACTCACTAGATATCTATCAGAGGTCATAATTTCCAATCAAACATAGTCAAATTGTTTAATGTCTTATTTGCTGTTTGTCCTCAAAAATTGGGCTCTCCTCTCTAACTTATCCCTTCAATGAGAGATTATTCTCTAGTCTACTGGCATGAAATCTAAAGTGTCTTCACTCATCTTTGACTTATTCCTTTATACAAAATTGTGATCAAATTCGTATAGTATAAAATTCACCATTTTGTCAACTTTTTTTATACTTGCCAGAGGGCATGTGCACTTGCCAGAGAGAGAGACAGAGAGAGAAAGCACGCCCCCAACTGGGCATGGTCCCACGCCAATCGCTTTTTCCTCCATTTCTCACTCCTGCTAGGATTCTGGGCATACATCCAAATGTGCTTGGAGTATTTTTTCTAGCCACTAAAACTGCAATTTAAACCACAGTCAGCCATGTAGGATTCAGCTTCCAGCACACAGTGCTCAACCAACTGTACTATGAAACTGATACTTTACCAATTTTAAAGTGTATAATTCTGTCTTTTTTTTTTTTTTTTTGAGAGGTTTTTGCTATAGAGTGCGTGCACTCACTGGAAAGATAGAGACAAAGAGACAGAAGGCAAGAGATAACCCACCAGCGGGGATGGCCACACTGTAATCCCGTCTCCTCCATTCTCCTTTCAGGATCTTGGGCATGTACACACACATGCCTGGCATGAGTTTAAGCCACTGGGTCTGGGACTCAAACTGCTGTCGACTCTGTGGGAGTCCAGTGACGTAACCAGGCCAGGGACTGGAACTGCAGTTTGGCATGTGGCTTCTAGCACCAAAGTCCAATGGTGGACTAGAACCAAAAAGAGGTTGGGCCAATTCAGTAATTTTTAGTATATTTACAATGTTACACAACCATTACCACTATCCAAATTCCGTAATATTTCTACATCCCTAATAGAAACCCTACACTTCTCCATTTCCTCTACCTTCCATCCGCTGCAGAACCCACATTCTGTCTCTGGGTTTCTGGCTCTATGGATTTCTGTAAATGTAATAGAATATATAATGTTTGGTATCTGACATTTAGCAGAATGCTTTGAGGGTTCATCGATTTTGTAGTATGTATCAGTATTCATTCCTTTTATGGATATATATCTCATTTTGTTTATCCACCTATTAGTGCATTTGGTTTGTTTCATTTTGGGGCTATTATAAAAAATGCTGCGTACAAGTTTTTGTGTGAACGCATGTTTTTCAATTCTCTTGAGTATACACCTAGAAATAGAATTGCTAGTTCATATGGTAACTATGTTCAACTTTTTGAGAAACTGCTGAACTGTTTTCCATAGCAGCTATACCATTTTAGTTTCCCAAAAACAATTTATGGGGGGGTTTCCTATTTTTCCAAATCTTTACTGACATTTATTTCTCTCATTTATTTTTCATTATTGCCATCCTAGTGTATGTGAAGTGAAATGTCATTATACTTTTGATTTGCATTTGTCTAATGGCTAATGTCATTCAGCATTTTTCATGTATTTATTGTATATCTTTTTTGAAAAATATCTATTTAACTTTTGTAACCATTTTTTTTTTTAAATTTGCCAGAGGGTGCACATGCTTGACAGAGATTCAGAGAGACAGAGAGAAAGGGAGAGTAACAAAGCACCCCTCAGTGGAGGATGGTCACAGCTCAATCTATTGTCCTTCATTTCTTTGTCTTGTCAAAATTTTAGGCACATGGGACCAGCAGTTGGCATAATGGCTGTGTAGCTCAACTCCCATGTAGTTGACCATGGTTCGAGTCCCAGATCCGGCGGCTTAAACTCACTCCAGGCGCATGTGCGTGCGTGCCCAAGATCCTGGAGAGAATAGAGAAGGGATTGCAGCGTGGCCATTCCCTCTGGGGAGTGATTTCTCATTTTCTATCTCTCTGTTTCTGTCTTTCTGGTGAACGCATGCACCCTATCCCTATCGCAGAAAAATAAAAAATAAAAAACCTCTCCAAAAAATTAAAACAATTATATAATCCAGCATTTCCACTTCAGGATATCTATGTAAAAGAATTTAAAGGGGAGGGCCAGGCTGCATGGCACCACAGTTAAGTGCTGTGCATTTAGAATCAAAGCCTACGTGGACAACTGAGATTTAAATCCCTTTACTTCTCTGTCTCTCTCTGTTGAGCACACATATCTTGTGGCAAAAATCTAAAAAAAAACCTAAAGAATGATAACGTACTAATTGAATGAAAACAGGTGTAGTTATATTAATATTGGACAAAATAAAATAAATGGGTTAACATATAATCATAATTTTCATTTCCCAAGAAGGTATTAATTTCTAAACTCTATGTACCTAATAACACAACCTCAAATTAAAGTTTAAAAAAAATGCAGAATGAAAGAAATTCACAATTCTACTACAAGTCACAGTGACAGATTCTAGGACATTTTTTTTTTTTTTTAGAATTTTTTTCCATAGGGTGCGTGCGCACACCAGAAAAACAGAGACAGACAGACAGAAAGCAAGAAATCACCCCCCAGGGAGAATAGTTTGACTGGATTGGCATGCACTGTATTTATGATGGAAAAAAAATGTACACTGTAAAGATGTACAGTGATTAAATCTAAATTTAAAAAGTGCAAAATTTAAGGACCACTGATGACATAATGGTTACGGTTTTTGGACTCCCACATCGTGAACTGCAGTTCTAGTTCAAAACTCACTTGAGATGTGTGTGTATGCATGCCCAAGATCGTGAGGGAACAATCGAGGAGAAGGGATTGTGCTGTGGCCACTACCCCGCCCCCCCCACCCCCCGGGGCAAGTAGGGTAATTTCTCACTTTCTGTCTGTCTCTCTGCTGAGCGAAGGCATCCTACCAAAATTCTCACTTAAAAAAAGTGCAAAATTTTTAAAATTATTTTAAAAATAAACGTATTTGAGGGACCAAAAGGAGGTGTGGAGGTTAAGGCGGCTGGATCCTACATGGCCAACTGCAGGGTTCCAGTCCTGGACCTGGAGGCTTGAAAAATGTGCTAGGCCGGGACCAGCAGTTAGTGTAATGGCTATGTCACTGGACTCCCATGTAGTCGACCACAGTTCGAATCCCAGACCTGGTGCCTTAAATTCACACCAGGCGTGTATGTGTGAGTGCCCAAGTTCCTAAGAGGAGAATGGAGAAGAAGGGATTGTGGCATGGCCATCCCCCCTGGAGGGTGATTTCTTGCTTTCTATCTCTCTGTCTTTCTGGCGAGTGCACATACCATATAGCAAAAATCTCTCAAAAAAAAAAGTATGCTATAATCTGTCACTGTCATAGTAGACTTGTGAATTTCTTTCATTCTGTGTTTTGCTTTGTTTTATTTTGTTTTGTTTACTTTAATTTGAGATTGTGTTATTAGGAACATAGAGTTTAGAAATTAGTATCTTCTTGAGAAATGAAAATTATGATTATGTGTTATGTGGAGAAGGGAATGCTGCGTGGCCATCCTACCGGGGGGAGGGGGGTGGTTTCTCGCTTTCTGTCTCTCTGTCTCTCTCTGTCTTTCTAGTGAGTGCACGTGCCCTATAGCAAAAACCTCTCCAAAAAGAAAAAAAAAGTTCAAAATTCTCTTTAAAAGGCAAAAAAAACAGGGACCAGCAGATGG